ACAAAAAAAAAAAAATTGTTTCCCTAATCTGTTCTTTTTTTTTTTTTTTATTTCGGTACCAAGGATTGAACTCAAGTCCTTGTGTTTGCGAGGCAGGCAGCGTCCTGATATGTATTTCTGAGTGACTTTCTAGGATAAGTCCTTAATTCCTTATAGATTAGTATGTTAAAAGATGAGAAGTTAGTTTTTCTATTTGGGATGATTGTTTGTCATCGTTGTTGGTGACTTAACCTTTCATGATATATAAGAAGACACATTTCTTCCTCTACTTCAAGGCTTTTTTTTTCCTTTATAGATTATAGCAAATCAGAAAAAGAAAAAGATCTTTAGTGACACTGAAACAGAATATAAATGTGATGACAGCAAGACTGATATTAGCTGGCTAAAAGAACCAAAATCAAAACCACAGCTAAGTGACTATAGTAGAAATAAAAATGTGAAGAAATACAAAAGTGGGAGATCAAGTAAGAAAATACTTTTAAGAGCAATGTTGCAAATAATTTCACCATTCAGTTATATAAAATGCTTTATTGGTTGAGAAGTACATTTTTGTAAGTAGACTGTTTATAACATTTACTTATGAATAGGACAAAACAGTATAGTGGTTATGTTTTTGTTATTGTGTTTTGGTAGTATGGAAATATTTTTCTCTTTCTAGACACAAATATGATTTATTATAGTCCTCGAAGCATAGCTATCTTCACTTGTCTGTTGATGGCTATTATTCAGTTATTTAGCTGATCTGTTATTTTAAATAGTACACGGAGTGTACACAAACTCAACTTTCTTAAACCAAACCAAAGCTTGGTCCCTAACACTGACCTTCATCTATTTACTGTTAATTACATTTGTATAATCATGCACACAGACATATGTATTTATATACATACATATATACTTTATAGGTTATATGTACCTCTTCAGTGTTCCATCACCTTGCTGCACCCACTACCTACACTTTTTTAGGAATTAGTTTAGATGCAATAAACATATATTGAAAGGAAAACAATTATTTTCAGAAAAAATTTTTGATTAAATCTTTGACAAAGGATTTTCTTACAATGTGCCTTCTGCCTGCTCTTTGTGGTAGTTAATCTTTTGAAGCAGTTGGCTAAGAGTTTGAAGTATAGAATTTGGCTAAAGATAATTACCATTTGTATAACAGTATCAGTGCCAGTGTTTGCTAAGAAGACTTCCATTTTTAAAACAATACAAAGTAACTCTGTTCTTTTCAATTAAGTTTATATTTAAGAGAGTCCAGTTTTACTTTAGTATTTTCTGTGTATATAGGTTGAGGGTAGAGGTGGTATGGCCTATAAGTAAAATAGAAATGAATATTGACCTGTGTTTATACATGAGACCACTTCTTGAAAACAGGTGAGAATCCAGCTAGATGTATAGGGAAAAATGGAGCAGGATTATCATCTATAAAAGAGACAGATTATGACATTGCATAGTATATTCAGGTAATGGAAAATTGGGTTAGTTGGAATTTAGATTTTATTTATGGGTAAATAGTGCAAATTGAGTCTGAATCTGGTTATAGAGCTTGAACTCTGAAGCAGTGTGTTACAAGCCATTGAGAAGTGGGATAGGATTTGTGTGTCTTCAGGTACCTTACAGTTCAGTGGGATGATGTAAAATAAGACATTTAAAACAGAAAGTAGATTAGAAATTTCAAGGAGATATTAGAAGTTAAAGTATTCAGTAAGTGTTTTAAAATGAACTTGTATGTGAATTATTTTAAATATTTTAGATGGTTGAATAACAAGTTAATGTGTATGAGCTGGTTTATAAGTGGAATTAGATGACCTTCCTTCCAAATAAGCTTTGCTTCCTTAGCTTGAATAATCTACTTTCTTAGCCTTCAGAGAATATTTATAAAGATGACAATATGCTTGAAAACGAGGTGTGGTGACACATGCCTATAATCTCAGCACTTGGGAGGTTGAGGCAGGAAGATCAACTCCAGAAGTTTGAGTTTGAGGCCAGTCTGGGATAAATAGTGAGTTTGATGCAGACCCTGTCCAAAAAAAGAGAGAGAACTAAAGCTACTGTCAATAATAGGTAAATCTTAGAAACATGATTTTAAAAATGAAGCAAATCATAGACTGCTACACAGAACATGATATTATTTTATAAAGCTCATTAAATTATTTAGGGATATATATATCTGTGAAGTAAAACCCTTTATTCAGAACAAGTGCATGAGAAACAAATTTCAGAATAGTTACTACCTTTTTATCAAAGACAGAAAGTATAGGAGAACATCCCTAAGTAGGACTCAGTATTATTCAGAATCTGGTTCTTAAATTGAGTGGTAGCTTCTAGATGTTAACTTTATAACTTGTGTTACATATGCTTTTATATGTTTAAAAAGTATTTCACAATATAAAATTAAGGAGAGGAAGGGAAATTGACAATACATATCATACTGAATACTGTATAGTAAAAGTTATCCTTGAAATTTACATTTTTAGATTAATTTAAAGGTATATTCTTTCTCATCAGCAGTATGGTGCCATCAGACTCCTAAATAAAAGGTTCAGGGGAAAGGGAAAACCCAAAGCAGTCTGTCATCCTGAAGGCCAGGTTCTTCAGAGGAAGAGCTGAGAAGTTAATAGTTTGACATTGACCTTTGTCCTGGCAGCCTGAAGCCACATGGAGGGAGGGTCATTGAATGCTCACAAATGCCTTTAAACAAACAAATATATATTATTCTTGTTTATATTATGTTTATATGTGCAAAAACGTTCTAAGAAATGTACTACCCATTATTATTTGAAAATTTTAACCTTTTCTGAATTGCAGGACCATCTTTGGATAAGGGACAACCAAAATCTAAAATGGTAAACCAAGAATTTTGTGTTCAAACATACCTTTAAAGTTATTTCTCCTTCTCTTATAAAATAGTTTATCTCAGAATTGTGTTATCAGTTGCTAATTTTCTCTAGTAGTTCTTATAATTTTCTGTAATTGTAATTTTTCTCTTGCTTTCCAGCTTTTTTTTTTTTTTTTAGTCATTTTTTCCTTGGAGTCTTATTTTATGGTTATTGGTACTTTTATGTGTGTATTTCAAAATTTTTTGTGTGTTTTACTTAAGTTGGATAGTACGTATCAGGCCTCTTAGAGATTCAGTAGTAGGGAATAAAAGGTGATAAAGAAAGAAGAGAATTAGAATAGAAAGGTAAATCATTTATAAATACTGACCAGTTACTATTTCTATCAAATACTTTATGTATGAATTTTCACTGCCAATCTTAGAGCAAGTAAGTTGCATTTCTTGTATCTCAAATACTGATCTAATAATATTAGGAAATTTTTATCCTAAAGGCACCCAATAAAAGCATCATCAAAAATGTAGATGAGACTATTCCAGATGGGAGATCCAGACTCCCACGAAGAGCAACAAGAACCAAAAAAAATTATAAAGATCTCTCAAATTCAGAATCTGAGAGTGAGCAAGAATCTGCACATTCATTTAAAGAGAAATTGCCAGTAAAGGTAAAATGGATCCATTTGAGATCCATAATTCTAAAAGCCTCTTAAATTACAAAATATATATTTTGTTAAAATATTAAGTTTATCTTGTTATTTTTTAGTTAATCTGTATGAGAAAACTTTTTTTTTTTTTGGTACCCGGGATTTAACTCAGGACCTTCCATTTGCAAGGAAGGCAGTGGCACCACTAACCTAAATCCCTGGCCATGTGAAAACTTTTTAATATTCATTTTAAAAATTGATCCCAAGGTAATACAATGTTAGATTTTATAAGTTGGTAGTGTTACAAAATGGGTTTCTAACTCCAGTAAAACTGTAACTTTAATATCTTTGAATTGGAGAAGTACTTCACCTTTCTAAAATTATGCTTCAGTGAAGTTCAAGCTTTTTAAAAGCTCTGGATCAGCAGTCTTCCCTAGTCCGATTATGCCTTACTCTTACCATCTTCCTTCACAAACTTTTCAGTATTTCAAGTATCATTAAATCTAAAAACTCTTTTTGGTTTTCCTAAACTGGATATGATCTTCTTTGAACTCTCATAGCATTTTATTTGTATCTGTTAGGATTTTTATTATACCTATGTCTTATGTTTTCCTGTGAATTTGACTTGTGCCATTTAGTGTAACAGAAATTATCTTTCTAGTGTCTAGGTCCTTGTTATGCCTGCACTCACTGTCGTAATATAAGATATTTAGTAAATATTTCAGTATAATTTGTGTACCTCAGTGTATTTGTATTCAACTATAATTTATTAATATGTTTAGGAGAACCACTCCAGAACCAAAAACATGAAACTACCAAAGAAACAACAGAAAGTTATCTTGGCTGAAACACAAAACGAACTACCAAAAAATCAGAAAAATACATCGCTATTAAAAGATACTATAAGTGATAACAACCTTGACTTATCTGCTATGTCTTTAGCTGGGAGTCCATCATCTATAGAAGTAATGAGATGTCAGTAACACTTCATTTTTCTTATATATTACTTGAATATTCAACAATTTTTTTCTACTTTATTTCTAAAAATGTGAAAATGAAATTTGAAGACTAATTTGGAAGAATGTATTTAAGATTATAGATTAAAACTTCATTTTTGAACTAATGTTAATAATTTGGTTATTGCTAATTTGGAGACAGTGTTACTATAATATTGAATTTTTTGCATTAATATGTTGAGGATCAAATACCTCAATATGGAAGATACTTACTACATATTTCCAAGTTATAAGCTTCAGTAAGAGCTAAATTTTGTACTTCTAGGTAAAAATATATTTAGAAAAGCAGGAATTTCTGGTTTTTTTTCTTTTTATAACTCATTAACAGGAATCCAAGAGATATCATTCTGAAGACTCAGTGAATTATCTACCTAAATAATTAAAGGTTTGCATTTACTTAAAAATAAATGGTACAGAAAATAAGTGGAGCTTAGGCATATGTATATCTTTCTATTGTATACACTATAAGTTTGTACTTTTATATAACTAAGTTCTGTGTAAAGGTATTTTAAAACATTTCTAAATGTTAAATAATTTCAGTTAAAATTCAAAACTTAAATCAGTTAATGTGATTGTGCTCCTAAAGTAGCTGTAGTGTTCTTTTATTTTCAGATGAGATCATGTGCATTCAGGGTGGTATGGCCGTAGACTGTTCTTTTATTTTCATAATGCTTAGAAACATTGTCACTTCAGATGAGCACATTCCTTCATTTGGTCTGACCGCTGTTTTAAGAATGCATTTATACCAGGACTTACTTCAGCAGTGAATTTCCTCCTTTTTATACAAAGGACCTAGATTATAAAATTATGTGACTTTAATATATAATATTGTTTACTACCTTATCAAAATAGTCAAGTTAATTATAATATCTATAGTATAGATATTTTTGTTTGAAAATGTTTTGAAAGTTTAGAAATTTTACATCGAACCATTATTTTTCAGTCTTATATTTCTAACAAAATATCTAAATTTATTGAAAATTTATCTGCTTAAAGCTAAATTTGAGAATTTGATAAATGGTCATTATTTTTAGAATTTACTCGTGCAATATTTTAAAATATACATCATCAGTAACATCTACATATTTTCTTTCTGTTTTGTGGGGCAATGTAGGTATGGACAAAATAGCAGAAAATGATTCTCAGGATTATGACTGTATAACAAAATCTCTATCACCGTATCCAAAAACTTCATCACCTGGATCTTTGAACAGTGACAATAAAGTTGGAAGTCCATTAAATTCACCCCAAAACAATGGGACAAGCTTATTATGTGCAAGTGTAAGTTGCTCACCAATTCCACCACCTCTGCTTTTGGTAAGAAAGTGTATTAGTTTTTTTTTCTCATTAGATATATCTGAAAGTGGTAAATCATTTTCCTGTAATCTTAATCAAATATGCATTGATTGTGTTCGTAAAGTTTTGAATTTGGTATGGGGCCTGGAAGAAGATGGATATACTGACAAGATCCAGTACCCATCTTCAAGGAACCTAACAATGTTATTGTAGCTATACAGGCAAAAGAATGTAGTGGCATGCCAGTACAGCATACAAATAAATATTGTGTGATAGTAATGATCACTTCCAAGAGTTTCTTTTCATCTATGTGTAAAAATGACATACATTTTAGAGATGTGGATGGGCTTATTTTAGCAACCCAGGCACTTCAGATTTCACTGTAATTCAAAGTCAAACCTTTTAGATACTAAAATCACAAACTGACAAAGTAAAATTACAAGAATGTACTTGAAAATAGTAGAATTAAAGTGTGTGCTTTAAATTTTTAAGGAAGTTTAAAGCTAATAGGTAAATAGTCTGACTAAAAATTAAATATGATATTGAAAAGATTCTCTAGTGAATATGGATTATAGCATTTCTTTTACAAATGATATGCTTAAAAGTATTTTTTAAATTATGTTAAACATAGGGCTCAAGGTGATGTAATAGTTAATTATTCAGTGCTTTTGAAGAGTGATTTTTGTATTTTGAGTCTGCTATTTTTAAAAAGTTGTGGATACTTTGATAGCATTTTATAAACCATCCCATCACGCTCCTTTTCTTGCTTGTGTTTTATAAATGGCTTAATTTGGATAATTTTGAAGTGGTGACAGAGTTACAGAACTGATTGCATACTTATGTAGTTCACTGTAACTGGTTATAACTGAAAGAGTTTTAAGTCAGACAGACTTGGATTTAAATCCTTGTTCCCTTATTTGCTAGCTGCGTACCATCTTACAAGTTAATGAATCTCTTTGCATTTCAGTTTTGATTGTCTTTAAAATGGGGCAATGAATGATGCTAACATGGCACCCAATACCTTGTAAATACTCAAATATTTTCTTCTCTTGATATATGCTAACCTTTATATACACAGAGGAATTAGTGATTCAAGGGCCTGGAGTGTAGCTTAAGGATAAAGCACTTGCCTAACTTGCATGAGGCTTTGGGTTCACTCCCCAGTACCACAAAAATGATAAGGAAAAAATAAAAAAAATGTAAATGACTGTTCTGTGCACCCATAGTGGTGACCTAAAACTGATACCTACCACTTTGAACTGAATGTGCTTTTTATTATTTTAAACAAGTTGCCTTCAGAGAGAATATTTTTCAAAAAAAAAAAAATCTTGTATGAAACTCCCACTGTGCCAGACAAATCAGAGTGGAGTTCAGCCTTAAAAGCAGAGGCAGATTTAAACCCTAGCTTTCTTAGCCTCTCTTCCCATATAATCCCCTTTGCAGGATTCTGTTTCTACAGACCACATTTGAAAACTATTTTGCTATTAGTCATCTTGTGGTCCTTTATAAGTATTACTGTATCATCTTCAGCTTCTTTGAATCCTTTAATTCCTTCAATATCCCATCTTATAAATGTCTATGCTTATGTAGTTCCCACTCATTTTATTTGATGTCCCTCTGTGTCAGGTGAAATTTTAATTGTCAGATGTTCTTCTGCTAGACAAACACATGAGACTTTTCCCCTCCATTTACTGTTGACTCTTAATAAGATTTTGGACATTTTCTTTGTTAACTTGGTGTACCACTGTATACTCTCAACAACGGTGTGTGATAGTGCCCCTTCTCCACAGTTTTAACTGGATGTTACCAGATATTTCTGTTTTTGCCAATCTTATTAAGTATGAAGTTGTCTCTTAATTTGGGTTTTCCTGATTAACTGTACCAGTGAGTACTTCCATATGTAGTTTAGCCATTTTATGAATTTCCTATTTGTTTTCTAATTTTGTAATTTCATTTTTGTATTTTCTTATAACCTTACAGGAGTACTTAATCTATGTTGGATATTAACTCTATATTGGTTACTTATAGTACAGACATTCTCTAATATCTGGCTTTTCATGTATTTAAAACCAAAATTTCCATATTAAAATGACATGATATAATAAAAATTACCACCCTTGGATCATTAAAAAAATAATTTCCAGGCCGGGGATTTAGCTCAGTGGTTCCATGGCCTGCCTTGCAAGACAAGGACCTGAGTTCAATCCCTGGTACAAATGGGATCATGGTATTATTTCTTGTGCCACTGGGGTTCTATTAAAAAAGTCTTTGCTTTCTATGTCTTCAAGAGTTGCGTTGATTTTATCTTCAGTAGATTGTTTCTGTTTTAACATTTAGATCTTTGATTCATTTTTATTTTAGTGTAGTACATGGTGAGATATATGGGTCTAAACTGAATCTTCTGCATGTAGATATCCAATTTCCCAGCATTATTTATTAAAGAGAATATCTTCACTCCAGTGTAGGTTTGGGCTCCTTTGTCAAAGATCAAATAGCTGCTCCATTGATCAACATTTCTGCTCCACAGTTCCATGTTTCTGTTTTTGTGCCATGCTGTTTAAATCACTGTAGCTTTATAATATAACTTCAGGTCTGGGATTATGATGCCACCTGCATTGCTTTTGTTACCCAGAATTTTTTTGCTTTTCTGGGTCTCTCTTGATTCCATATAAATTTTAGAAATGTTTTCTCTAGCTCTGTGAGAAATGATGCTGTTATTTTTATTAGGATTGCATTAAATCTGTATACCAGTTTTGAAATCTATTTTGATTTAATGAGAAACAGATGATAATTTCCTATTTTTTCATGTCTTCAATTTTCTTTTTTCAGTCTGATGTGATTTTAATTGTAGAGGCCTTTCACTTTGGTTATTACCTAAGTATTTTTAGCTGGGTGTGGTGGCATATGCCTGTAATCCTAGCACTCAGGAGGCTGAGGCAGGAGGATTACTGTGACTGGACTACATGGTGAGACCCTGTCTCAAAAAAACTAACCAAACAAACAAATACCTGAGTATTTTCTCTGGTATTGTGAATGGTATTTTTCTGATTTCTTTTTTTGGTGAGTTATTAGTGTATAGGAATGCTATTGATTTTTGTGCATTTATTTTGTATCCTGTTACACTACTGAATTTGGTTATCCATTCTTTTGATGGAAGTTTTTGAGTCTTGTAAGTAAAGGATCATGTCATCTATAAATAATGATATTTTGACTTTGTCTTTTCCTATGTGTATTTCTTTCTCTGGCTAAAGTTTCAAGTGTTCTGTTGAATAGCATTTCTGATAAGGGGCATGCTTGTCTTGTTCCTGATTTTATAGGGAAGGTTTTCAGTTTGCCCCATTTAATATAATATTTGCAATAGGTTGGTCACAAGTGGTTTTGATCATGTTGAGATAAGGATTTTGTATACCTATTTACGTCAAGGCTTTAATCATGATGAATGTTGGATTTTGTCAAAGGCTTTTTTTGCATCTGTTGAAATGATCATGTGATTTTTACCCTTCTCATTATATGATCATTTATTTACATGTGTTAAACCATCCTTCCATCTCTCAGTTGAAGCCTATTTGATCATGATGTATGATCTTTTTTATGATTTATTGCATTCTTTGCCAGTATCTTGCTAAGGGTTTTTGAATCTGTGCATTAGAGATGTTGACTTATATAGTTCTTTTTTTTTTGGTTGGATCCTTGTCTGGTTTGGAGATCAGGATAATATTGGCTTCTGAGAATGATTTTGGAAGTACTTCTTTCCTCTCAATTTTGTTAAAAGTTTTGAGATGTATTGGTGTTAGATCTTCCCTGAAGTTCTTGTGGGATTTGTTTGTGAATTCCTCAGGTCCTGGACTTCTATTAGTTGGTAGGTTTTCTTTTAATTATTATTACTGCTTCAGTTTTATCACCTGTTACTGGATTGTTCAAGATTTTTAAGTTTTCTTGGTTCAGTTTTGGTAGTTCATATGAATCTAGGAATTACTCCATTTCTTCTGAGTTCTCCAGTTGTTTGGCATGTGTTTATGAAGTAGTTGCTAATAATTTTCTGAATCTCAACAGTGTCCATTGTGATTTCACCTTTCTTATTTCTAATTGTATTCATTTGTGTCTTTTTTCTTTTCTTTTTTTTAGGTAAGATTGGCTAAGAATTTGTCTATTTATTCTTTCAAAGAAAATTGCTTCTCGGCCTTTTGGCTAAGATCAAGTGTATTCTTTCATAGAACAAGCTCTTCAATTCATTGATTCTTTGTTGTTTTTCTAGTCTCCATTTCATTTATTTCTGCTCTAATCTTTTTTATTTCTTTCCTTGTACAAACTCTGGGTGTGATTTTTATTCTTTTTTTTCTAAGACCTTGAGATACATCGTTAGTTATTTGGACTTGTTCTGTTTTTCTGATCTGGGCATTGACGTACACTTTCTTGTAGGACTGCTTTTATTGTATCTGGTATGTTGTCCTATTATCATTTAGTTTGAGAAACTCACTTATTTCTTCCTTAATTTCCTGTGGTTATTCAGGAGTACATTGATTATTCAAGAGTACATTGTTTAATTCTGTATGTTTGCATAGTTTCCGTGGTTTCTTTAGCTGTTGATTTCTAGTTTCATTGCGCTATGATCTCATAATATGCATAGTCAAATTTTGGTTCTTTTGAATTTAGGCATGTTTTATTAACTAGTATATGGTATATTTTGGAGAAAGTACCCTGTGTAGCCAAAAAGAATATGTATTCTATTATTGTTGGGTGGAACATTCTGTATGTATCTATTAAATCTGTATTTTTCAAGATTTGGTTGAACTCTCATATTTCTTCACTTATTTTTTGTTTAGTTGATCTTTTATAGTGGGATGTTGAGGTCCCCCATTATATAGTAATTGTGTTGATATTTATCTGTCCACTTGAGTTTTATGTCCATTTTATGTCTATTTGAGTTTTAGGAAGTTGAGTGCACTGTGGTTTGGTGCCTATATGTTTATAACTCTACATCTTCCTGTTGAGTTGTTCTGTTAACCAGTATATAATGTCCTTCTTTGTCAAAGAACTTTTTAAAAATATATATATATGTTTTCAGAGGAGTAGTTTGTTTTTTTTGCTTTTAGTTATATAAAGAAATTACTAATTTTCATCCAACAGCTTTGCTGAGTTCTATCATAATTGTCTCCCCAGATTCTCTTAGATTTTCTCTATAAAAAGTTAAGCAGTTACTCATGATAATTTTTATATTTTCTATTACTGCCTATATTTGACCTCTGGGATATAAAAGCTATAATAGCAGGCATCTTTATTCTTTAATCTGCAGTTTTTGGTAGATAATTGTCTTCAAGTTACTGTTTTGGTCTAAAGGCTTTTTAACAAATCATAATTAGGGGTTAATTTTAGCAATGAATTAATTCCCCCCAAATTTAAGTAATTTGGTTTAATGTTTCCTATTGTTATGTTAAAATATTTTTCCATCACTTTAAAATGTTGTCTTAACTTCCTTTGGTTTTCTACATGTCTTATTCATTCATAGCCCAGTCATTCTGCAAGAAAAAATAATTCTGCTGTGAATAGACCAAATATAAATTCTGTGGTACTTACACAAGAAATGCAAAATTGTAACAGCTATTCAGATATAAGCAGTTTTCCTTCAGAAAAAGAGTTTATGGAAATTGAATCTCCATGTATCAATGAGAATAATATGCAAAGCAAAAGAGAGGTAATTTGATACTATATTTTTCAAATTTTCCTTAAATTAGGATTATTCTTTTAAGAATTCCATTATTAGCCTGTGATTATAGTTACACTATCATAGTACTTACTTTTCAGTTGTCACCTGAAAATGATGTTTAAAATATAGAATAGCTTGATTACTTTGACAGAAAAAGTTGAAACTTCTAAAATGAGAATAATAATATCTTAAATACTTTAGATACAGCTACTGAACCCCTCACTTATATATTTATAGTTAGAACTTTTCTGCTTTCATTATATTGCAGTTTGGTTAGTTGAGCTTCTTGTAACCATAAAAGTGCATTGGCCCATCAATAAGAAAATTTTAATAACCTGTGTACTTTACAATTTTATACCTGGGAGAGGACTGGGATTTGAGCTAGACCTAAGTGGATGGGAGGGTATATACAGAGTAAGTAGAGAAATAACAGTACCCTATATAAAGATTTCTACAGGGAAATAATAAACCTGTATATTTCAAACAGTACAACATAAGGTTAGATGTGAAAAATGTGTTTTGAAACAAAGAGTTTAAATTTTTTCTGTAACTCTCTTCCTTAACTCACAGAAGGAAAAAAAGCCAACAAGGAAAAAAAACTGAACAGCAAAAATAGTCAGAAAAGACAGATCAAAACTATTACTATATTATTGATATTAACCTAGAATCTAAGTGCTTTCATGGTAGTGTTAAGATGAAAAAGAAGGGAAGAAACAAAATAATCTGAAAAAGAATTGACAGCATTTCAGATTTACTGTCTTAAGGCATGGATGATCAAAGGTTAATCTGAGAGTACTTATACTAATTTTTTCTAATTTCTAATACATATTTTAGGAAAGCCATTTAGCATCTCCATTATCCATGTCCAGTGACTCAAGAGAGAGAATACACTTTGACCTGACTCGTGACACTACTCAGATATCAGGTTTGTAGTCACAGTCTTGTTTTTTAAAAAATATTAGTAATTATTAAAATACCCTCTGAAATTTCACCCAAAAGGATTGTTTTAAGTTGATCCATTATTCAATTTAATGTCAAAATATAAAGGAGGTAGAATTTAATGCACAGTTGTTTAAAACAATACAGATGATTAATTGAAAGACTTTTTTTAAAAAGCAAGCAAATATTAGGTATTTTTAATCAAAATTACTTTTAAAATACTCTTATTTCTTACTGTTTCCAAGGCCTCACTCAACATCTTAGTTGCAAACGAATGTACATAGAAGATAATCTAAGTAATTCCAATGAAGTGAAAATGGAAGACGTAAGGAGCATACACTTGCTTCCCAAAAGACTCTGTAAAACTGAAGATACAGATCATCACACCCACAAAAGTAAGCAGATCAAAAGCCTGTAATACAGTGCAATTATTTGGAAGGTAGCTTCTTGGATTTCAAATGACTTCATTTTCATCCACAAAATAGATTCCTTTCTACAGACAACTTTGGATAGGTTCAAAATGGATGAGTCAATTACAAATTTCACTGTGTATAAATAACACTGTAAGAATGGTCTTCTATACACAGGGATTCTCATCATTTTATCATTTATTGCTATATTTAAGCTTTACTACAGTTATGCATTATTTATGCATTAGTGAGTCTGAATGCTTGTGTTAATAATAATATGAAAGTTACGTGAAAGCAATTAAAAAATAGTACCAAGTGGTCCACTTAAAAATTGCTGTTTTTGCCTTAATAGCCCTGTCAGAAGTTTCTTTAATAAATCTTTAATAATTTCATTTTTAAATTTAAAAATAGGTCTGCTTTTGATTTTATAATCCCTAGGTCAAATGTAAAATATGAAAATAAGATTTTTTTCTTGGTCTAATGACAATATTAAATTTATGATAATGTATATTTTAACATTAACTGACTCTTTTTTATTTTTTAGTGTTTGCAAGTTTATCTCCATTATCGACAAATGATTGCTTTATTCCTGAGAACTGGAAAAATAACCTTCCAGGTGTAGGCATGATTTGTGAGAAGCTTAATTCTCAGTTTAAAAGGAAGATTCATGTGAGTTTATAGTTCTTTATGTTTTATATTCAGCAATATGATCCTGTGCTACCCTTTATATTAGATTGTTGTTGTATCCTTGGGCAATGAAAGGCCCATTCATAAATACAGCCTTTTGCATATGTGAAAAATTGGAATAATTATCAGATTTTAAAATTTCTCTTGGGGGCTGAGGATTTAGCTCAGTGGTGCCGCGCCTGCCTTGCAAGCACAAGGTCCTGAGATTAATTCCTGATACTGGGGGAGTGGGGGACCTCTCATGAGCTGTGTTTCTCTAACTTCTAAAATCTGTCCAGCATCATGTTCTTTATTTTTCTGCTAGTTTTCTTTTGTCCTGTTTTCCTTTTCAGGCTATGATTTTTCTTTGATATTACTGAACAATTTTCTTTTCATGTCTGTCTTCTTAGACATTTTTTATCTTACAGAAGTGGCCATTAGTGAGGGGCAGTATAAAATAGTCGGTTACATGTCGTAGTCACTTTCTTCCTTGAGACGAAATACCCAACACCTACAAATTAAAAGAGCAGCGGTTTATTTTGGCTCATAACTTCAGCGGGTTGAGTTCACGGTTACCTGGCTCCAAAGCAAAAACTGCATGGTGGAAAGGCCCACTTGTAGTTATTGCACCTCATCCACTTCAGTCAGAAAGCAGAGAGAGAAAGGAGGAGCCAGGGAAGGAGATATGCTCTTCCAGGTCACAACTCCAGGGACTCAACACTTTCTACCAGGCCCCACCTCAAAACTGCACATTCAGCTATAAGCATAGTAGTGATCAAATCACCTTCCAAAAGCCTGACCCCAAATTACATGAGTCTTTTGGGGAACATTCTAGATCTAAATAATAACAATATACTACCAACTTTGTCCTACCATCTTTGCATTTATGTATTAATAGTTGTTGCGGCAAAAAATAGTTTCTAAAACAGTTTATAACCATTAGTAATTTTTTCCTTCCTTATCTTTCTTTCCTCTATCTATATTTGGAATAGACATGTTTTATAGCCTTCTTCAACCCCATCTCTTGCCTTTTTCTTCTATTCAGGGGTAAAATATGAAATTATTTAAATTTCTATACATTTATTTTGTCTTATTTGCATAAGGAAACCTAATCTCAATAGTGAAGTCCTAATTTATGTGTTCTGTTAATTCATCTCTGAGTAGATGTGAATATATGTTGTGAAAATGGCAAAAGCAGTAATAATTATTATGACTTTTAGGATATACTGTGGAAAAAAATTATAATCATTAGTATTTTCCTGTAAATACTATAGAGTGAGTGTGATGTTCTCATCAGTAACTCATCAGTCCTTAGTCAAAGCCTTACTGATATAATTAGACACTGTTCTAACTGAGCTGGTTTATAAAAACTTTAGTTTAAGTAACAGAGATTTTAATTTTTTACTTTTCTGAGTTCTTAGTCACATTTTCATGGAAAAGGCTTTACTATTAATAGTTTTGGTTAGATTGTTGTTTTGTAAAGGTATTTGAAGTAAAAGTGAGTATTTTTTTCAGATCCGACATAAAATGACAGATGACTTTACTAAGCAGTCTTGGAAAACGGTTCAGCAGCATGTGAAAACAATTAACCATCAAATTCGGGAGTATAGGTCTGTAATCTCTTCTGAAAATTTCTGAGTATTGTATATTCACATATTATGAGTACATGTTCTGGATGCCATAGTTTTTAAAAGTAATCTCATTTGGTTTTTTAATAGGATTAAAAAACTTGATAAATTCCAGATGAACATCATAGAAGAGCTGGAGAATTTTGAAAAAGATTCACAGTCTTTAAAACATTTTGAGAAGGAATTTGTGGTTTGTGTTTTTAAAATAATTTTAAACTCTTAAAAAGCCATGGTTAGAAAAACTTGTGTTTACTTTGTACTTTGAGAGAACAACCTTAAACTTTTTTCTCTATAATACAGTTTAGTTTTAGCTTAGACTGTAGTTAAATAGCTTCAAACAAACATTTAAATTTCCAACAAATTAATTTATTGTCTTTGATAATGCAGGAGAAATTTTTAAATTTTACTTTCATTTTTTAAAATGAAACATTGTATAACATATGGAATGTTCTTAGCATGTAGCTAAATCATGTATTTAAATTTAGAATACTACCAGTAGACTTATTCTGTGAGTTTTAAATTTATATATATTAAAGTACAATTAATTTTTGTATTTCTAAATTTTTCTTAAAATTTAGGACATTTGGGAAAAGATGAATCAGCAGTTCAGAGAATATAAGAGAAGTGAAGAGCAGAGGTTAGTATGTCTTTCTTAATAACTGGAATCTATAATATTAGCATATAAAGTTAAGTTTATATTAGTTGAAAAACATATATACCATTTTAACTTTAATTCCTGATAAATATAAAGTTAACTAATTATTTTACTTGTTAGGCTTCAATTTTTGAAAACTTCATTGGACAAAAATGTCTTCTATAAAACTGATTATGAAGAGACTGTTTTTACATCAGAGGTATAACTTTATATTTTTATACCCAATCTTTCTTGATTTGAGTTACTCTAGTCTTTTTGCTGTGGAAACTATAAATTTCATGGGGGAAATATGTTTACTTATATTCAGGTGGGTTCGATGAAAGAAAGTCTGAAAATGCTGCAAGAAAGGCTTCTTTTGGAAATGGTAAGTTATCTAAATTTTTCAAATGGCGCAATTATGCTTTTATAAAGTCATTTAATGAATTGCACAGGGATTTTGTTTTGTTTTTTTCTTTTTGGATTGAAAGAAGGTAGTTTTAGCTCTGACTAGTTCTGGGAACTAAATAGTAATAATGGGAACGTAGAGTAAAACAATAGGGTTAATTTTAATATTGAGCACCTCTTGAGGGGAAAAATGAATATAAATTTGCAAGTTGAAAAATTAGATGGAGGAATGACTTCTTAGCACTATTCATAAGCACTGTGCTCCACAGCAACACAAAACTGCCCAGAAAAGCTGTAGTTCATTAAAGAATTATTGTCCATTTGGACAAAAAGATTTCATTTACATAGACTTGAGGATAAAAATAATTGAATCTGTAGAGACCTAGTAGGCCAGCACCTAGCTTCAGGAGGAAAAGTACACCTGGCAGGGATCTAAAGGCACTGCTTTGAGTGAACATGTTTGTGTTTTCTCAGAGGTTTAAGGTGTTTTAAAGTATATGTTAGCACTGATTTTGTGTTTGTGTGTGTGTATGAAATATGTTAATATACTTGTAAAGTTTTAATAAAATGTCATGCTGAAATAGTAGGGGATTAGGAAATTGTGGCTCACCTAATGTAGCTTGAAGAAAAGCAAGAATATTGACTCTGTTAATTTTGTTGAAATTTTCTTGTAGGCTATTTTTATTTTATACTTTCCCTGTAAAATTTAAACCTAAATTTCATGAATGTGGGAATTTTAAAGATTTCAGTTCTTCTCCCAGTTGATCACCTTAAATACTACTGATGATTACAGAATTCTAGATATACTATAGATGCTGGGGGATTGGGTTGGATAGAAAGAGCAGTGGTACACAGGATCTTTATAAAAGGAGTTGTTTTTTAAAATGAATCTCTAATAGAAGATTTTTGTTCTATTTTATTTGATGGTTTACAGAGATAATAAAAGCTAAGTGTGATTTTTTTTCTTGTCATAGCAAGAAGAGGAACTTCTTAATGTACACAGAGGACTGATGTCATTATTCATGGCTCATGATAGAAATGATGAGTGAAATCTAGTTGTCATTCATTTTTCTAACTTTTTTGTATATAATTAAGGAAATAGTACCCCTACAAAGAAAAAATACATGTTATCCAGGCAATTGTACCTCTGTTAGACCTCCCATCCACAAACATGTCTTCTTACAGATGAGATAGAGCCATTATAACATGACTACAAGCCCAAAGGACTTTAGTCTACATAATACTGTACTTTCTTTCATGGAAAGAACATTTTGGGAAGCCAGTAAATGGAAGTGGCTTATTTTTGTTGTAATACTTAAGTTAATTAACTATAATTGCAAAACTACTTTAACAAATTTTATTATATATTTAAAAATTGATATAGTTTTAGATGAAATAAAGTAATTATTAAAATTTACTTAATAGTTCAGAATATGCAAGTAATAAAAATGTAGCTACATTTAGAAAGGGGAGAAAATTGTTGATTTAAAATGTTCCCCTGAGTGGTAGATCAGTACTTTCAGCATACTTCTGGAAATATTCATTCGGTTATGGCTCCAGTGTATTAGCATATTCTAAATGGCCTAAATTTGTTAGTATATTGCCTAAAATATTTTAACTCATTGTAGAAGTTTTAACTCATAAGCAAGCTGTTTTGGCAAGTATTTTTTAAGCTCCTAGTTTTTATTGTAATATTTTTCTGTGTCATTCTATCAAGTACACATTTGATAGGATTTATATATTAAAATTGAAATAAATGCTATTTCACTTGATTAAATGTTATGGGATTATTTTATATATCATAATTTTCCTATTTTATGAACACCAAATCAAATAATATCCTTCTCCAGTCAGACAAGTGAAGTGTAATACCAACAAGCCTTAATGTTCATTGTCTAAATGGTAGCAGAATATTTGAATAATACAAGTATTTAAATATAGTGGTAACTATAAACTACTAAAAATAGTTTTAGTCAAAATAAGAGGAAAAAAACTTCATGTTTCATATCAGTCATCTCATTCAATTATTGGTATCAGCTTAGATTTATTGATGGGGCAGTGGGGTTTGTATTTCAAGTGAGAGTTGCAGCTCTACTGTGGTATTAAGTACTACTCGAATTGCAATTCCAGGTTGCCTTGTGAGTTTGGAACTAAGCCCATCATTCATGATTACCTGTTTAATTCATCTTCAGTCAGACTTACGAGACCCTTACATTACTACATCATACTTATTCCCATACTGTATTATATGCGTAATCGATCCCAGGTTCATACTTCTTGCCCTTACCAGCTTTTTGCTACAACTGTTATTACCAACAGACCCTCGGACTCCTAGTTTCTGACATTCTTATCACCCAACCTGTTATCTCCTTGTGACTTCCTAGAGAAGTCCTAGGATGTGTACTCCACTACGTCTCTCTACCTGGCATCCTTCTTAAGTGTCTTGTCTTACATACTCATTCTAGATCCTAATGTCCAAAATAATATTCTTGTCCTTTTTTCTCATCAGTCTTATCTGATAATTCACAACTCTCATTTTACAAGCTGAACATCGCTGGAGAAAATTATGCAATTAAGTTTTACATTAGTGGGCATACAGTTGAGCATGCTCAACAGTCCTTACTTTGCCCTCTATACTTGGCTTTACTATATTTCCAGTGTATTTTTCCTTAATTCTTTACCTTTCAGCTGATAGTTTCAGCTCACAATTTTCTCATCTTTACCCTAAAATTGAATGTTATCTGCATCAATACCAACATTTTCTGATTTCTCTTTTTGTTTCAGTGGCATATTTGTTTCTTTCAGGACAATCACCCTACTAGTGCTCTGAATCCCATTATTACTGATTTTTCTCTCCTGGTTTTTATAACCTGTATTTACTAAATAAGTAAATAAAGCTGTTCCTTGGTATCAAATTCTTTTCCCTGTGAAACCCCTGTGCCCTCCCTGTGAAATTCTATAGTCTTTTTACTAGTTACTGTCTCAACTCAGTCGCATCCTATTTGCCCTTAGATTCCCTCAGTTCAAGGTTATGCCCCCAATATTTCATTGAAATAACTTATGAAGACCACTGTTTATATTGTCAGATCTGATCTTAGCCTCAGTGCTGTTTCATGTTTAAAATCCTTAGCTCACCTGCATTTGTCACTCTTTCTTACTCTTTCCTGGCTTCTCTTTACCTCTCTTTATGTGGGCCTCATTTCTAGTGGCTTGCTTTTCCTCATACTTTCTCCTTTGGTCATTTTATCCCATCCCACATAACAGCCATCTCTAGTGTTGATAATTCACAAATGTATCAAAGTTCTGACCTCACTTTCCACATCAGAATATTGTATATAATACATTATGGACACTTTTAATAAGCATCTCAATTCTCAAAACAAGTGCTTTTCCCCTCACCTTTAGTTTTTATTCCTTTCCCTCTTGTTCAGTGTGCTTCAAACATCCAAACATCATTTCTTTAAGTAACTGTGTGTGTGTGATTCTGGAGATTGAAGTCAGGGTCTTCACACTGAGCTACATCCCCAGCACTTTACTTTGTATTTTGAGGCAAGGTCTTGCTACTAAATTGCCCAGATGACCATTCTAGGCTCAAATTTGTGACCCTTTGCCTCAGTCTCCTAGAGTGCTGGGATTACAGACTTGCACCACTACACCAGCAAAGGAGATACATGTTTTTAAGTCATGCATAATCAAATGAATTTTCATTTTATTGGACCACTGGAAGAATTGTATAGGCAAATAAAATATACATAAACAGCATTGCTAAGGTAATGTATTTGTAATCATTAATTTTAGTAGTTGTTTTTCAAAATCACATGTAAAAAAACATGGAAATAATCTTGAGATAGGATCTGAAAGAAAATAATTCAACTTTTTTTAGGAATACTGTGCTGAGTGAAAAAATGTTAGAACTATCTGCAACTTTAGATAAAGCTTTTTTAGCTTATGTTTCAATAGCAATAATTTTAAGTAAAAAGGGATTTGGAGAAGTGTGTTGTCACAGTAATGAAACACTTCCCTTTAATATCTGTTAGGCTTTAATTGCCTAATTTGATAATGAATTTTACACAGGTCAGAACTAATTTCAGCCTCAGTAATGAGTATTGACATTTGGAATAGACTTGATATTAAAAACTTTTAAACTTGTTAAGAGATAAAATTTAGCTATTTGAGTTCTTCTGTGTAATTCATACCTAAAATACATGTATTTAAAATGTTTTCAATTTTTTAGTAGGAGTCATATAACTTTGTTTTAAAGAGTTATACTGTATGTTTTAGGCTTTGTGGGGCAGATGGGAAATTTGAGGTTATTTTGTAGGTATTTATATAATTATTTCAGATATAATCATTTTAAAATGTAGCTATTCTTAGCCTGTCTGCCTTTTTGTCTTTTGTTTTTTTTTTTTTTTTTTTTTGTACCGGGGATTGAACTCAGGTCCTTGCATTTGCAAGGCAGGCTGCGGAACCACTGAGCTAAATCCCTGGCCCACCTTAAAAATTTTTTTATTAAAAGGCTGGCTAGATTTGGTCTGTGAATTGATGGTTGTAGGCCCCAAATTTAGAGGGAAATTTTTAAAAATCAGAACTCTTTGATCTTTTTTCTCTCAGTTCATTTTACTGTTTCACAAAAATAGTGATTGAATCAGTTCTCATTGTCAGAGGCATATGAGTATATTTATTAAACAATATAGCTAAAATTCTTGACTTTTCTATTTCAGACAAAATTAAATGATCATTGTAGCTAATGACCTATGTATCTTACCTGGGTTGCAATTTAACACCTTATTGGTATAGATTTACCACATTGTTTTTAACCAGATTGAGCTATAAAGTGTTAATTGTTCCAGAAGTACACATGGAAAAAGACATGAGAGGAAAACATTTATATTACTACAACTAGGTAGAAATGTAAGCTCTACAGTAATTACTATAAATGACCTAAATGCCACCAAATCCTGACATAGACGGTCATCACCAACTTACAGGGCAGCATATCTTTTGAAAGCATAGTGAACTGTAACATTTACATACAGCATAGCCTTTAATTCCATATCAAATTTGCAGTTGAGTGACGAATTCTGCCAACTTGAGCTCAGTACCTAGTGTGAAGTTCCATTTGCTAAAGGCAGTTTTTGAGCCATTCTGTCACCATCACTTACTAACAGTTATTGTACATGAGTAACGCTTATGTCTAAGTTTAATATATTTAGTCAAAAGTTGAAGTATGCATGGAAAACGCTGAGTAAACAAGTAGAATTTAGAGCAAAATAATTTATCAAGAAATTAATAACCCAAATCTGATGTGGAATATAAAACTACAGCAAGATGGTAGGTGGTTTTGAGACTGTTATTCCACACCAGGCAACTCCATTATAATAGAAAGTAGGCTAGATGGAAAGCAGGGCAATAAATGATGATGTAGACCAGCATTTTGGGGCATGTACCTGAGTTTTAGTAATGTGTTCAGTGTGTGTGTCTTTGAAAAAAATAAAATCTTGCATACCTAGAAACTAGTTATGCATATATTAATATATAATAGCTTATTGGCAACTCTGAATATAAATTTTAACATATTTACCATATGCAGAGGTATCTCCTGTTGCTTTATCAAAAATGTGATTTTCAGAATTTCTTTACATCTTTAAGGCAATTTACAATTGAGTTTCAAATACTTCAAAAAGGTGATTTTTTTTTTTTATTACTCAAAATACTGCTCTGTTTTCATAGAAGTGTGGCTGATAAATGGTAGCTTTTCCGTTGTTCATATTAATATGTTTTGTCTGAATATTAACTAATCATATATTCCTAATATCCCAAAACAGAAATAATCAGGTACAATTTATAGAAATTAGCCTTTTGAAAACTTTTATATATTCAATTTGTTTTATGTTCATTGGCTTGTGAATATATCTTCTGAGATGAAAAACTTTGAAAAGTCTGAAAAAAACTTAGAAATGGGTACTGGAAGTTTACTGGAATAGTAGTTTAACGCAGTTCATTTGGGATTTTGTATTTCTGGTCTTGATATTGCTGAAAAATTATAGATATATAGCTAAAAATTTCAATTTACCACCAATGTGTAATTTGAGTATAGACCTGTAGTTATCGTATGTTTCCACAAGATGGACCTCTTGATGTTAGGTATTTTTTGTTTTGTTTTTTTCCCATTTCAGTTGCCCAAAAACTATTCAGGTGCTAAAATTTCAAAGTCCCTTTAAAATTTTTAAATATACTTTTCAAAAAGCTATATGAAACACCATTCCTCCATTGTAATAGCTTAAAACTTAATGGAGATTTCTAGAAGAGATTTAACTTTTTTTTATAAAGACTATAAAATCTTTTGGACTTCTTAAAAGCAGAATGATTTTCTGCTTTTATATATTGTTACTTTAACAATCATTTTGTGAAAATAGGAGCAAATGATTTATAAAGTCATTGCATAAAACTCTCATTATTGAATGTTATTGGTAATGAAGAATTCTGATAATTTTCTAAATTGTTATTGAAGCAGCAGCCAAAAGTAGTTTTTTCTAAAACTTGAGTTTGATATAATTTTCTCTTTGAATGTATACAACATATGAAAATTTTTATATACACATATCACCCTGTGATACATGAATTGTTTTTGTTCCTCCAACATGAAATATACTTGAGAAGTGATGTCCTATACTTAGTACACAATTAAACATACTTAGTAGTAAATATACTTGATTCATGTGTATCCCTTAACCCTTATGATACCTGATAAGAATTTGAAATATGGATGCATGATTTAGAGTAATAGTTTGTGTACGATGGCCAAAACTTTTAACTAAAATATAAATATTCAATAGTCAGGATACCTTAGAACCTTTGAGTCTGAAGCAACCTAGCCCTCCTTTCTTTATCCTGCAGTTTACCTTAATTTTAAGTTTTATTATTTATTAGATATAGGACTTGGGCAAAACACTAATCATAGGTCCTACGTACAAGTCATCTGTAACCATAGACTGATTCTTTTCTAAACAGTACTGATCCTTTATGCTTTAAAGGCTAGCGTGGCTTCTAGGACAGTAGCACTTTTTTTCCTCTTTATTTCATAGTAAATCAATGGATATTTCTGTGTGAGGGAGATTGAAATTTGTTTTATATAATTTGGGCTGTAGGTAATACTTTAACTTGAGCACAATATAAAATGGACGTAATATGTAGCTTAAAGGAACAAAAAAGTGTTTTGGTGGTTGACTAGCCACAAATAGTGGCTTGTAAATCAAATAGTATGTAATATATGCATCTTGAAAGCTTATAAAATTAACTGTCTTCTAGTTAGAAAAGATTTAGATATTTTATTTCACATACAAAGAAGTTGGGGCTCAAAAAAGTCCGTGGTTCATATAAGGTTATACAGCACATAGGAGACAGAACTGGAATTTCTGTATCGTAACATCAATAAGATGTTTGCCAGTACCTTGGATTGACCATAGGTCTCTTCAAATTACTGCCGCAAGTGTTGAACAGTTTTTGTGGCACCGCATCTACAAGCATCCTTAAGCAGAAAGGAAAGATCGTGGAAAGCAATGAGGTAGCATTTGTGGTTTAAAAAATTTATAGAGGACAGTTGCTCCAGGTGCTGTCTGGCAGTCATATCAGTAGTTAACATATACTGGATACCTAGAATGTGCTAGGCACTGTACTTTAGCTACTTGATATCAGAAGCAACTTTGAGAGAGATGACCATGATCATGGAATAGAGAAAATAAGTATTTTGCTGAGGAGCACAGAGCTTGGATTTCAGCACCAGTTCCATAAGCTAAAGTCACTCAAGCCAGTGTTTCTTGCTGCACCAGTTCATCAGGAGGGAGGAGGGTAGGCTGATTTCTTTAAGGACACTTAATAGGCAAAAAAAAAAAAAAAATTTCCAGAGAATGTTGTTAATTTAGCTTGTTTAGCTTGTTTCCTCTTTTATGGCAAGATTAATTTCACCTTTGTGCTGGGGTAACCTTTGTACCCTCATCCATCTAAACATTTGTCTTCTACAACAGGTTCTTAATAGTGTTTCCCAATTTGGACCTAAAAATACTCAAGTAGGGCATAATTGTCATTTTGGTAGAATTTTTCAACATTATCGCTTATTTCTAGATTAAATGCAGTCTTCAATCTTCACTGATAAGTAAATTTAACTTAGAAAAGAGATTTTGATTTCCTGGGGCACAAACCATATATACTGATGAATTGACAAAATTATAAAATGTTGGCATTCTTGTGCATGTGTTTAGGTTCCAGTGGTTCAGAAGTAACTAAAAATTGATCCCTAAGAGGTCACTCATCCCAACCCCAAGAAAATGTGAAGTCTGGGTTAATTTCCTGCAATAAGTAGTCATTTAATTAAAGAACAAAATTAACAGGAATCAAAATGTTGGAGCTGTATTTTTGTTAGACATTATATAAAAAAACAAAGAGTATAATACAGTAAATCATTTTATATAACATGAACTTAGAGTTTTCCAACTAATCATGATCAGAATAAAAATGTCTTTTCAACAAAATACTAAATGACACTGCGACACCGCATCTCATGTCCCTCATGTCAGAGGCCTGGGAGTGGTGAGCCTGCACATGCACTTCACCCGTCCTCTATCACACGCAGAACTGTAAAACAAGGTTGAAAGGCAAACAACAGTTTTCTTCTGGTAGAGTTGCTTTGGGCCTTAACTGGCGCCAATAGTTCACACTTCTCAGACATCAAAGAAGTAAGTGTGTCCTCTGGTTACTCCTCTTGTAGGTAAGTGTGGCCAGGATTGTACCTGAGTGTGTGATTCTGCTCTTCTCACACAGCAGGTAGTCTTGAGCTGAACTTCAGGAAAGTTCCCTGATGAATGTTCAGTGTTGGTATCAAAAATTAAACACAAATTCTTCTCAGAAGAAAATCTCTATGGCCTGTGGAATCTAGAAATTTGAAAAAGATGAATTTATACATTTCTAACAGTTGAAAGCCTTCCACAAATATATTTGTTGGAAGTGTCTGAGAAATTTAAAATGTGAAAATAGAGCTGCTCTGGTTAAAGTATACAGTAAGTAGAACAGCAGAGGGCTCCTGACTCTCAGGTCCCTGTGGTACTCCACAACATATATTCTGAATTCTTAGGACTACCTGGAACTTAGTTTGCAAGCTCCTAGTTAAAAGCTGTGAACTTTGAGGGAAGAACACAGAAAAGCCAGCTCTTTGCTAAGCCCATAAAAGTAATATATTGGTTGATAAATTATTGGAAATTATAGTAGTCACAAGAATATTTTTGTAGAGTTAGTAATGTTATAATAACATTTAATACACTCAGGAAACTCATGACTAAAATATGACTTAACACAAAGTGCTAAAATGTAGTATAAGAACTTGGAATTATTTCCTAATTTTCAGGTTTTGGACTCTTAAATTTTGTCATCTAAGGAAGCTATCAAGAACTTTAAAAAAATCAATATCTATTTTAGTAATGTATAGTAGGTAAATGTAGAAGTTACCATTGACTGTATAGTAATTATATCCTATTTCTTTAAAACAGAGTGAACATTAAAAGATCTTACATGTTTTACAAGGGAAGTTGAATTTCTAATTAGGACACACTCAAAAATGATATATTCCACCCCCAAAGTATGTTGGTTATGGGAGGAAACATTAACAAATTTAAAAACAATTTATTTGCATAATTTTCTCTTGTCCTTCCTCATTTTCCTTGTTTTATATGTACATCCTAAAACTACTGTGTAAACAATGCACAGGACATTGGATTACCTGGCTTTTGTTCTATAGCCACATCATGCTTAGTTTTTGGTGGTACTAGTATTAAATCCCTACCTCTAAAATACCTTGCCAGCTCATTTTTATTTTGAGACAGGGTTTCAGTACATTGCCCAAGTTGGCCTCAAACTTGGCAGTCCTGCCTTAGCCTCCTGATTTAAATAACAATTGCAATGGCCACTTTATGACAAAACATCCATTATTTTACAGTACTGTTCGTATACAAGACTCTCTTTGTATTTGAGGCTTGAGCATGTTTAGACAAAGGGAGAGAGTACAAAACAAATGTTGAAGACTTTTTACGTCATAGCTCCATTAGGGTTAAAAGCGTAAGAGAATCTCAGATCATTATTGCTAGTCAGGGCTATGGAAGAGAGAGAATGTAAAGCGCAATGGTGAAGAACTTCCTTGCCACAATGGAACCCAGTGGCTCCTTTTGTAGTAGCATGAACAGATACCTTGACAGGGAAAAGCTTGGTTGTGGGAGAAACAAAATAGGTGGGAGCTGCCTTTATCACTCCTGTATCATATTCACAGTTGCATTTTCAGTACCTGCCAGTGGTGTCTGGCATAGAGTTAGGTACTCAGATACTTGCTGAGGAAATGAATGCTCTTAAAGATGTAAATAGAAAATTGATTTTAAAAAAGTAAATGGGAAAGCAGAGAGTGACTTTACAACAATCTGTAAGTATAAATAAATTGGCAAGTTCTCCAAATTAAATTTCTAAATATTAGCAAAAGGGAATTAAAGGTACAGAAAATTTTCCATTGCTTTCAGTCTGATTTTCTTACATACAAACTATTTAAACCAGCAACCTGTATGTACTATTCTCGTCACCTTTTTTCCCAGCTCTTTAAGATACCATAGAAATAGATAGTGTTGAACTGCTTTGTTCACTACACTTCTTTGCAGAAATGCTGCATTTGTCTAGCTGGATGTAAAGGTCTTGGTGTTGTGGGTTAAAAATACTATTCCATAAGTATCATAACATTCATAAGAATAGAAATCTCACCTTGTCAAATGCTTGCTTGATGCATGTACTTCCATTTCATTACTTTTGTATTCATTTAATTCTTTACGAATTGCTGCCTAAAATTAAAAACAGGACATTGTTTTTTAGGACACTGAAATGAGTTTTCTTGTTTGTGGACTAACAGCCATTTTTTTTTTTTTGTAATATGTTGGAAAAAAATGTATCTTTTTCTCACTAGATGCAAGAAGCATTCTCAGTTGTAATAACTGAAAATATCTCCCAACATTGCCAAACCTCCTCAAGGACAAAACTGTCCCCTATTTGAGAACAGTATTGATCAACTCTGACCCCAAATGATCTTTGTGAACCCCATATCTAATCAAAATGTAACCTTAATGCTAAAGGCCAGTGGCTCCCACTGTCTTAAGAATAAACTCCCTGGCCTGACACATTTTGTCCATGTTACAAGATCCAGCCCTCCCCACCCCCAGCACAGAGACTGTGTACCTTATCTGCTGCTGACAGTCTTGTCCACGGTTTGTCTGCCCTCCTGTCATAGTCCTGCGCTTTCGCTACTTCCACATAATCACTGAAACGTATCAGAATTTTCCTGTCTCTTAATTCATCAACAGTGGGTCTCTGATTAAGCTAAAATAAAATATCATTATAGTTAGGTATCACATGCCAAACTGATTCTCTTGAAATAACTCTGAGCAAACTATTTTTACAGACAACTCAAGCTGAATATAAGCAACTTCTACTGTGCATGGCTTAAATTATATATTTTTAAATCACAATCCCCTTTTTCCCACCCCTTTTATCAGAAAGATTCACATTCTCAAAAGTATGTAGTACAGGGTCAAGGAGAATTAACTCAGATTTTACAGCAAGAATAGCTTCTTTACAAGTACCATTAAATAAGCTCTTTTAAAAAATTATTGAAGTTATCTAACTACTACTACTACTAATACTCCTACATCAAAATCAGCACAGGGGAGAGAGGGAACCAAAACACTTGAATTAGAAATGATCAGGGTTTTTAAAAGTAGATTGCTTATAGAGTTGCTACCAATGGCCATCACCAATTTTAACTGAGTCACACAGATTGTTCCTTTGTACTAATGAGGTTTTCTGCAGTGAAGGAACTTCTAGATGACCAAAAACAATGAGTGTAGAAAGTAAAACACTGATCACCCATACACTTTTATTAGACATAGTACAATTTTTTTTTTTAATGTCCAGTCAACTTCTGCCTCCACCTGGAAATAAAAGGAAATGTCATCAGGATTCTACTGCCTTTCCATTCTGATACCATGAGAGGGAAGGATTTCATCCATAGAGAATATCATTCAGACATTGGGATGGGACTAGAAGCTCCACTTTCTGAGGGGTTTTGATGAGTTAACTGATCGCTAACAAATATTTTTATCTGAGTCCATGTTAGGAAATCATTCACAGTCCTGGAGAGTAGTTTCTTAGATACGTATTCCACTTGCTTAGAAGCAAAATTTTCTCAGGAAATAAAACACTTCAATTATAATACCTTTCTTGTTAATCTTTGTTTGATTTCTCTTCTTTCTTCCTGTTCTGTCTGATCATTCCTTTCTGTGAAAGATTAAAATAGAAGAAACCAGTTGAGATGTTCTCTTTAGCAAAGAGTGTACTGGTAACTAAAGGTAGGATATTAAGGACACCTTTGTAAATCACACCTTTTCCCACATTTCAGCTTCTGTTTTCTCCATTTTGCTAATCACTGCTCAGGAGATCATAGTCCAGTTGTTACACAGAATCATCCTAGCCTGGTTCTCTTCTGACCTACTCTACATTAGAAGCAGCCACAGATAATATTGTTGCTTATTTCTAGGAATTGCTTATCTTTGTATATGTGTATACATTGGTCAGTCTCTGTTCTACCCAAATATCTGTGTGCATATTTACATCAAGGAACATAGATGGTATACAAAATAGCTGTAGTTGAATATCTGTTTGTATACATTTGAATATAAATAGCACTGTCACTACTTGTTTCTTGGTTTTTTGTGGGGGTGGATTTTGTTTGTTTTTGTTTTTCTGTTTCATACTGTGCATACCTTTTAGGCAACCAACATAAGATGCAGAATACCCTCCTTCAAATTCTGGACAACATGTGTTTGCCTGGAATTTATACTGCCAGGGTATGTTTCAAATCTGAATACACCTACAAACCGACTGACTCTCTTTTGAATGAAGCCCAAGTCTCTCACTGAAGTTGGCTTTGCTTGGTGAGTTGTGACTGTTAGCATCCAAGCTGTGCTCACACTTACATTTGGAAACTAAAGATAGACCATGAGTACTGAGCTGTAGTATACAATGTACGCCTTGCCCTGTGACACAGAATAACGGCTGTCCTATTTTTGGTGCTCTCTGTTGCTAAATAAAGCCTCTTGTCTCTGATCTGAACAGAACTCCATTCCTAGGAAAAAGATCTCAACCATCAGCACTCCTAGAAAAACTGCCAGGTTTTGGAAGGGGAAATCCTACTATTTAAGGTTAACATAATTTCACATTATCTGTTTTGTTTGGAAAAATAAGAGTTCAGATGTGGGGTGGGGCCAAAAAAAAAAGTTCAGATGTACATTTGGAGGGTTGGGTATATGGGTGTTTTTCAGCAATTGTACTTCTCATTGATTCTCTTTTACGGCATTTTAGAAAAAACCCTGTTGTGCACTCAGTTCTTTAGTCACATGAAAAACCAGAAGAAATTGTACTTGTAAGTTATGATAAAGTGGATGATACAATTAGAAAAATGTTGCAAAACTATCATATATAAGGCCAACTATGAGAAATAATATGAAAGTAATTCTTCAGATTTCTTAAAAATAGTTCATGGAGGAAACCCAAGTACAGGCTTCATGTGGAAATAAAAACGCACAATTAGATCATTTTTGTGTGTGTGAAAATATTACTAAGGTCATACACAGCAGGGCCTTTGGAAAGTTGACCTTTGAAAGTGCCTGTCAGTATGTCTTTTCATGTGTTTGGAGAGCTCTGTCAGACACCTGCTCTAAATTATTCCTGTTGGCCTAGGCCTGCAGACCTCGCTTTGAACTACCCTTAGGTTTATGGATCTTATATTTCCACACCAGAAACCCTTACACACGACAAGGGATCCATTAGGAGGACCTCTATACCCACATTTTCTGGAAATAACTGCAGTCGCTTGGACAATTATATATGAGTTTTCCATAGAAACTCAAATGTATTACTGCATCTGATATAGTGGTTAAGAACACAGATAATGGAGTGAGGCAAACCTGGAGTTGAACTTCAGCTCTGTCCTCTTGCCAGTAATATTCATTTGTTAAAATGTCATGTTTCCTCTCAGTGCCTTAGCTGCTTTATTAGTAAATTTTACAAAATGTGTTGTAGATTAAATTAGGGTACATACGCCAAGCACTGAGTATACTGCCCAACACAGACTGGGCCCGATAAAGAATTTGTTGTATTATCATCATATATAACAACCTAGTTACATTCATGAATGCACAGCAGAGTTCTGAATGTTCTCAGATATAACCGCAGTTAGTTGTGAGTTCCCAACCTGAAGGGAAACAAATCCAAAGTAATCATATTATGGGATTTTATTACACAAGAAAAATGCAATGTAGTAAGAGCCTGTGACTGTGATATTTTATACTGGACCATATATGGTGATCCTTTTATCTACATAGAAAGCAAGGAAACAGCACACACCTAAAACAAAGCTAGTAGCAAGTTTCAGGTCCTCCCACTCAGGACACTTGAGAAGGCTTTAGAGTGAAGGCCAAATCTGGTTCGCTGGTGAAGGTACATTGTTTATGGCAGGATTGCTACAGCCACTGCAGAGAAAACCCATTTCCCTTCTGTGCACTGAAGGTGAGTACAGTTGGTTCCAATTATCCTCTTTGATTAGCACATTTCTATTTTTAAGGCTTCAATATTTATTTGCAGAGAGTAACACAATTAGAAGCACTTGTGGGTAAGAGGATCTGGCTGCCCACAATAGAAGGGAAGAGGCTACTACTGAAAAGTGTTTCCCAGGTTAACAGCCCAGGAAGTAGTAGTCTCTTCCTGTTGTGGGCAGCAAACTGTTGCAGTGTGGTACTTCTCAAATCTTGAGCTTGCCTTCAAGTCGTGACCACTACTTTTAATGGCATCTATAACTTATAAACTTTATAAGCAAGGGACTTTATTTTTTAATCCAAATACTCAAAAAGTCAACTGAAATAGCTTGATTTTTCTAGTCTACCTACTTTTAACCCTAAAATTTAAAAGTATAAAAGAAGGAATTGTTTTAGTCAGTTAAGGCAACTGAGGTAAACATAAGAGAGGAGTCAGAGTGCAGTACTCAGTCCAACACAAGAGCCCTGTGGCCTGCTTTGTAATACAAAGACAGCCTTGTTAATTTTGTAAAAAGATGTTCACAAAACAAATTCAGAAAATGTCTGCAGTGTTTACACAAAGGGGAAAAAAAAAACTAAAATCATGCTACATGAATTGGCCTTAGGAGACACTTTTTTATGGAAAATATCTTTAAAAATTGAAGACTGTTGACCAGGTAGCTACCTGAGAAAGATCAAGTGTCAGTGACTTAATGAAATATAATTCTATATAGTGGAGATTATTCATAGACATCTCTGTTTAGCATATACTATAATTATCTACCTAATGAGAAACTCAAGGCCAGAGGCAAAGGGTCCTTGAATCCCAAAGTTACAAGCCACAGAATAATGTCCCCTGGTTCCCTTGCTCTTTTAAGCTGACCATCTTATTCTTCCTAGATTTTAACAGCCAAGGGGCATGTCCTTCACTAGTAAGATTTATGACCTAGCCTGTAATTTCTGTAGCCATTAGGACCCCCATCAAAAACTTCCAGGAAAACTTGCTTGACACCCATTATGCATAAAGAGGGTATAGATTCACTTCCCCTAGATCTACATGACTAACCCTGAAAACAGCTACATCTTTAATTATCCTAGAAGCGAGTTTATTTTTTCCTCATTTTAAAAGGTCGTGTTTCTGTACACATCAACTTTCCTTAGAGGCTTGATTTCAGAATCTCTTGGCTGCTCAGATTTACAAAGCACTCAGCCTGCACAACTGGGCTGGATTACAGCAGCCCCGGCACACACACGTGAGGGAAACCTCTGGAGGAATCACCAGCTACTCACGTTTCAGGATATTTCTTCTCTCCAGCTCCTCCACAGCAGGTCGTTGGCTCAGTCGTCTGCGGAAGAACACCAGAATTACATTTTGCACCATGGTGGGTGCCTGAAAATTCCATCCAGGGGCTGAAAGTAAGAGGTGGCTGGCACACCCACTAAAGATTGCCTCTCAAAAAGTAGGAGAGAAATGGAACCTTTGGTGCCTCTTGCCGGCAAAATCAAGTAACCAAGTCAGCCTCCCACGTGGGAGGGACGGCGGCTGCCCCGTCACGAAGCTGCTGTGGAAGTCCTTGCTCCAGCACCGAGTGTGCAGGTCCTCATTTTCCAGATCCGTTGTCCACACCTGCCTGGTCTCTTCACCCAGGCAGTGTGTTTAAGCAGCATGGGGATCCATTCAGAAAATTCCTGCCACTAGCTTAAGGAGGGGCAGGCAGCACCACCTGGCTTTAGGCTTTTGGTTCCAGAGATGCCCAGAGATCTGCACCTTCCCTTGCTGCCTCCTGTCCCTAGCACGGGAGACACCAGCCTGGAAGCCAGAGCTCTTCTTTCCTCGGTGTTGAAAGCTGCCTTTGCCTAGCCCAACCTGTGCGGGGGAGTGTCTTAGACTTGTGGGGCCTCCCGCCTCTTGTCAGTGAGCTCACACTTCCAGCGCTGAGGAAAAACTAGGAATCTCCAGCTCATCACAGCTAAGGGAACTGAGCTCACTTTCCCTTTTTCTGGCCACCAACCTCATGTGCAATATGAAGACAAATTCATCTTTCTCAAATGGTCTCTGGGGAATTGGAGGACGCACCCCCCCCCCCAGTTATTTTTTTCAACCACACAAAAGCCAAGAAAACAAAGGAGTTGTCAGCAGAGGGAGGCATAGCCACAATTAATGCCAGGCTCCACTTACTTTTGCAGCTAAGATAATGTCCTTGGGTTAAAGCCAAAAGCCTTCCCACTTCCGGATCCTTTAGCCACTGCAAGGATTCAATAGGGCCAAGTGTTTGAATACCCAGACTTTGGGCCCACAGCGTCTTGCCCCAGTGAGAATGTTGCTTGTCTCCTATTTATAATCCCTGTCCAGGCACAAAGCGATTGCTCCTCCCTCCACCCTTGAACACAGTGTAGCTGTGTGGCTCCCTGGGAGCTCCTGTCTCTTCTAGCTCTGGGGTGGTTGCTTCCACATCTCCCCTTAAGGTTCCATAAGACCTGATCCTGCCTGCCCCAGACTCCTGGCCAGACCCAGGGGTGAAGGCTTCCCCCATCTGCCTCTGCAGAGCCTGCAAAGCCAAGCTCAGTAACTGCAGTGCTACTCAGCCAGCCAGCCAGCAATGACTGTGGAACATTATCACACGCTAGGCACTGTCCCAAGCCCTCAGGACACAGTGCTGAGCAAGCTTCTCTGCAGTGGGAAGTTCACAGTCTAGATGCAAAGGAGACTGAAATCATCACTTCCTTATTGAGTGGCCAGTGCTGTGAAGGAAATAAAATGGGAAATGTGATGGGTGAGTGGTGGCTGGGGCAGGGAATCTGGGGAAGATCAGTGAAGACAAGCATCTCCAACTACATACACAGCAGGCTGGAGATGGGGCGTCAAGGAAGTGCTCAAGATGGGCATCATAGAGGAAACAACCATGTGGTATAGAAGCAATGTGTGCAGTGGTCTTAGCATGAGATGGAGGAAGAAAAGGAAATTGGAGTTGTGACAACGGGATGGGGGTGAAATCTCATAGAGTCCTGAAAGACGTGCTACATGATTAGACTTAATTTTGTGTGTAGTGGGGACCTAGTGAGTGTCCCAAGCAGGCAAAGGATGTGGTCAGCTCTGCGGTATCTGGGCAGTTACTCTCCCGTCTTGGGAAGGTGAGGCTCCCTCCTGGCTGCTCGTGGAACAGGCCATCCTCAAGGGGGCCCTGGCCCTGGACGGTGGTGTGACAGCCGTAGAGGATGGGCTGGGAGTGGGTGAACAAAAGTTTGAGACATTTTCTGGCTGTGTGTCCTTAGGGTGCTCCCCTAAGCCTTATCTACTCATTCACAATGAGGGCTAAATAGCTCTACATAGAATAGTGAGAAGATGATGTGCAAAGGTGTTTTATAACGACACTGTTTGGAATTTAGTAATTTCTAAAGAAACCATTGTTTCAGGGATGTCTGTAAATGAAAGGCATTAGATTTTTTTGAAAACCTTTCTAGAGGTCAAACTTCTCTGACATTTATAAACAAATTCTTCAGAAGAACAGTCAAGGAGCCAGAGCTATATAGTTCAGTGATAGAGCACTTGCCGAGAATACACAAGGTCCTGGGTTCTTTTCCCGGCACTGGAAAAAGAAAGCCTTGTGGAAAACAGTGCTCAAAGCTCTAGTCTCCACATGGCGTAATTCCTTCTTCCTGCCCAGTATGCAGTGAGGGACTGTGTCCTGCTCCTGTACCTTCCTGCAAGTCCATTTCCACGTTGGCATGCGGCAGCCCAGGGCCTGTGAAGAACTGCATGTCAGAACCCTCACGTCTTCACCTGCTCTGCTATGACTGCCCTGCTGACCTGTGCAGCCTGGAGTGCAGCATGGCCCTTGGGCTGGGCTTCTCACATTTCACAGGGTTGGTATTAGCCAGTTTCACACCTGGGCTCAAATAGTGAACCCCTGATACACTAGGTGCCACAGACTCTTGTCCGTCAAGTGGGTGATGATGAGTGATGGGTGGGGTAGAGCTTGTGGTTGGAATTCTGCCTTCCCCGGGGTACTGTGCTCATGAAAGGAGATGGTCCACAAAACAGATTCTGTACAAGGCCAGAACTGTGATGCCTGTGAGTCAGTATAACCACTACTGTTGTATTGTGACTCCCACTACTAGATTCTCAAACATTTGTGGAATTGTACAGAGGCATTTAAGAAACACCAGCAGTGGGCCAGGGATTTAGCTCAGTGGTTCCATCGCCTGCCTTGCAAGCACAAGGATCTGAGTTCCATCCCTAGTACCAAAAAAAAAAAAAAAAAAAAAAAAAAAAAAAAAAAAACAACAACAACAAAAAACAAGCCAGCATTTACTCTCCCATTTCAGGTACAAAACTTGGATTAATCGGGGTCTTCCCTTCAGAGCATGGCATGGCACTTAGCTTAGCCTCTGTAAAATGGGGGCCACAAGACCATCTGCCATGTTTTCCCAGGTCTGAGTGATGATGGGCTAGCAGGAACAATCTGGACTGTGGAGCCCTGACTGGACTCCTGACAAGGGCTCAGAGAGCAGGGGCAGTTGGGCCTGGAATCAGAGCCCACAGCTGGTTCCCGAAGTAGGGGGGCTAAGGCAGTAAAGGAGTGCCCTCATCCGCTTTCAGGAACTGAGACCTGGCTGGCTGGGAAAGCTGTTTTGGGTTGAGGCCTGCGAGGCATCCTTGTGACAGAGCAAGGGAGGACTGACTGGGCAGAGGCAGGCTGACCGCTAGCTGCTGACACCCAGAGGCTGCCTGGACCAGGTGGACATGGACCTTTTGTAAGCAAAGCCATGGCCTAGGAAAAGGGTAATGGGACTGAATGAGCATCCCCTCTGGTCTTCGAGCTCTGTGTGAGTAAATCTGGTGCCCAGACAGACAGGTGTTAGGGGTATGAATGAAGGAAAAAGTGAATGGATGTGGGTTCCTTTCCTCTTCCTATAAGGCGTGTGCAGGCTGACATTTTTAGTAGCCCTGGATTGGCACTATCCTGGAGTTAGAAGCCTTAAGAGCAAGAGACTCGGAGAGGAACAGCAAGAAACAGCCCAGCATAGTTGGACTTCAGTAGCTGAGCAAGTTATGGGGTTGGAGAGGCAAGTGTCAGGTTTCAAAGCTGTGTGAGATCCCAGTTTCGCCCTGGGCTGTTTCTCCCCTCTTCTGGCTCAGAAATGGTGCTGTGGTGACTGTGATGGTGACTGTGCTGCTGTTGCCTGGAGCTGGGGAAGCCACAGTCTATTTCTGACTCTCCCCATGGGGAAAGCCTAAGTGTAGCAGCTAATTATAGCACCATATAGGGTGGGAGGGAACCGAAGAAAGGAACGCCAGCAACAGAGCAGCACTTGCCAGCCCACTGTGCACAGGGCAGAGAAGGGCAGTTGGGCTGTGAATCAGGAGGGCACTGGATAGCCCAGGACTCAAACAGCAGTTACAGAGGTGTTGAATGGCCCACGCTGCCAAAGTGCATCAGCATGTTCCAGGGTGGCTGGCAGCTTGCCAATCAGGTGACCCCACAGGGGCTCTCCAAGTCTGCCTGCCTCTCTGGTCACCTACACCACTGCCTGCACTGCAAATCCATCTGAGCCTTCCATGGCCTGGCTGAGCTCCCATCCCACCCAAGCAACAGGAATGCTATGAGGGGCGAGGACACCGAACACAAGGGGAAGCTGGCCCAAGAAAAGGTGGTAGTGTTGTTACTACTACTGTGTGCCTTGCTCTTGTCTTTCTGGTGTGTAGGGCCTGGGTCTCTTCTATTCTCAGCCAACAGAAGTACAGCAGCCTTCTGACCCTCAAGAAGGGTTTCTCCATCACCATCCTGCATCAGAATCAGCACATACTTGCTCTGACACCTTCCATCCATCGGGCACACACTCAGACACTGCTCCATCAGATCCTGCCTCCACTGGAGCCGTCTCCATGCCAGGTGGGGGCCAAGGAGAAAGGACACGTGGGGTCTCTGCTAACATGGCTCCCATACATTGTTCCTGAGCATCCATTGTGGCTGCCACAGTGGGCTCTGCTCAGCCTCGAGGCGACACCAGCTGGGCATCACTGGGACGCGCTGAGGGGCGCCCTTCAGATTGTTCTGTGAGTGGCTCCCAGGAGGTGGCCATGCAGAGGAGCTCATGGCACATGGGGGTAGGGAAAAGGAACAGAATGCAAGGAGATCATGCCCAAAATGGCTCAGGAGTCAGGCCTGGGATGCCCTTTATAAAAAGTTTCTTGAGTGTTATTAATACATATTTTCTACAATAAAAATGCCTTGAAGAAAATAGGCTTCAGGTTGCCCCACCCCAGGCCTGACTGCTTTGTCTGTTAGTTGTGGGCTCTTTAAGGAACCCAGTGAAAGAAGGAGGGATCAAAAACCAGGCTGCC